GAAATTTTCTTATTAGGCATTATACTGGAAAATATTAGCAAACAAGAAATGTATTTGATGCTACATTTAATCACAGCAGCGAGGATTGTGCTTGCTCAATACTGGAAGAGTGAGGAACTACCCACAGAGGAACTGATTTTAAAAAAGAATCTGGACTGTGCAGAAATGGACAGATTGACTTTATTACTGAAGGAGAAAGAAGATACTGACTTCTATCAAACTTGGGACCTTTTTTATGATTGGCTGGAGAAACAGGACTTGGCTTAGATTTAGATATGTTTTTAAATTTTTATAAATCAATTTGAATATGATTACAGAATGTTAAAAAGATATGTTATAGGGGGCTGACCCAGTACGTCCAATGTATTTGATGATTGATGTTTTTTAGTTTTTAGTTTAAAATCTTAATAAAATCTTTATTAAAAAAAAGAATATGCAACAACCAAAAAAGAAGAGGTGGGACAAAGAAAAGAGCTTCAAGATATAATTCTATGTACTTGTACCTGATAGTCTCACTGACTATAATGGGAATTTTCCCCACTATGGGGCAGCATACAAGTTTCCCAAATAATAAATAAATAATGCACAGTTTTGAGCTCTAAGGCTGGAAGAACCCCACCAGACTCAGTGATACTTATATCAGAGTAGACACAGACTTGATAAAGTTTGTTTAAGCTCATATTCATACAGAAGACAGAAGTACATGGGTGAGGCAAATGAGAATCAGGATGTATCAGAGCAGTTAAGATCTTCAAGACTGAGCTGATTCCTAGCAGTCTTCATAAGACAAATTTCCAGGTAGGATGGTTGGGCCAGATCTCATCTCTACAGCTCATGCAGGATGGTACCATGCAAGGCACAGTTGACCATTTTACATAGTAAGGAGGCTTATTTCAAACCGTTAATAATATAGTTAGGACAGTTGTGTGTGTAGATATGCATGGGATTACATTTACATTTTCCCTTTCCTTCAGCAGTCTCAGCACTGCTGTCATCACAACAATGCTGTGTCGTAGGTTAGGCTGAGAAATAGTAACTGACACAAGATCAATCAGTGAGGTGGAGGGGAGTATTTCTTAGTTCCCCAAAAGCAACAAAACATCTTGGGCCAGTCCTGCCTCTGTGTGTGCACTGGATTTCCTTTTAGGCTGTGGTGCCAGATGCAGTCAGACTATTATCATTCTGCACTTTGTTTGTGCAAGAAAGTGTCTATAAGTGCATTCATGTTTCCTTTTTCTGTGGGCTGTATGCTATGAAAGGAAAATCAATACATGGAAAATGTAGGTAGAATCCAACCTTTGTCCTAAGCAGAGTGAATCCAATGAAATACTTTCTTGTTGTTATGCACCATCAAATTGTCTCCAATTTGTGGCAACCCTATGAATGAAAGCTCTCCAAAAATGTCCTATCCATGACAACCCCTGCTGAGCTGTTCTAAATGCAAGTCTCTAATTTAAGTCTGATTTACTTCAATGAGTTTACTCTGGATACTACAGAGTTTGCTTCTGAGTTTCTACAATAGGCATGGCATCCTTCCAGAAAAGAACACAGATGATTTCCCCAAGAAAAACGTGCAACACCCAACATGACACACCTGCAGAAATATCATGTGTGAATTTAGTGTCTGGAGTAAGGACTTTGATACAGATGCCACGAACAGGCACGTTTTAATTTATACATTACAAAAGGAGATGAAACTCATGGTGTGTTCACTGAAAAAGATACTGTTTCAAACTAAAAGTGAACAAACATCAAATGGCCCATGCGTGGTGAAATGTTTCCTCGATTAAAAAAACATGCAGATAGCTATGATGGGGAGCGTGAACTTCCAGGATACACTTCCCAAGCCACTTATCTAATAGCGTGGTTGCGATCATTAAATTGAAGAGGCATATAAACTGCCTCAAGCTCCCTGGAGGGAACGCCAAAATACATGGACGATTACTATATTTTTAAAGGCGTAAAGACACCAAAGGATTCTTTCTACTTGCCCTCCTGCCTTTTCCCCCCACTCCACCCCACCCGCAATCCAGGGGAAACGTGCAACACGCAAGACACCACGCCTTCCCTTACCCATCCGCTGAGTATCCAACAACACCGACGGCATTTCTTTGAGGGGGATGTGACCGGTCCCGCCCTCTCCGCAGCAGGCCCACCGGAGGCAGCACCACGCCGAACGCGAAGCCGACCCAGCTGTTGCTGCCGCCATGTTTCTTCTTCGTCCTACGCTCTTTCCTCAAGGGGCAGTAATTCTAATGTTTCCTCAGTAGAATGTCGGTTCTCAGTGGCAGCTGTTAGAAACCGCCATATGCGGGGTAAGGGAGGAGGCAACTAAGGCACCCAACACACCTAAGCTTTCTTCCTTTGCAGGGCTTTGCATCCCAAATGGATAAAAGTGTGGGTGTGGGCAACTTCTCTACATCAAAAGGCTTGATGATCACGAACGCTATTCCGACAGATGGAGATGCGACGAAGAAAACCTCTCCCTGTCTATTTTTAATCTGTGCTTTTAACCAATTTCTTAAGGATTTTGTAATGTACAGGAATGTGAATTGAAAAATAGACTATATTCAGAATAAACTATTTATTTATTTATTTATTTAAACCATTTCTATGCCACCCCATCGCAATAAAACCTCGGGGCGGCTCACAAAACAATTCATACTCAAAGGTATTCATTTTAAATAGCCATCAATATATACTGATGGGAATGCACAATAACTCAGGACACAAAGGATTACGAACTGAATTTCCCGAGGATTAGGAAGGTGGGTGAAGTTTTGCGACATCGAAAGCCCTCCGACTTCGATTGATTAAACATGTAAAATTCAGAAATTTAATTATGAACAATATAGAATCAGAAGTTTGATTGTTGTTTCCAGATCTGGTCCTTCCACAATTAGATAAGCAGCAAAATGAGCTAGTTACACTGCATTTGAAGGAGAAAGACGATCTTATCAATGGTGACCATTCCCGGCACCTGGAGGCTTCTTGAACAGCCAGCGAAGGAGGAGCTCCGGGGGTGAGCTTTGCCTCTCTGTCCGCCCACCCTGCCTATTCCCTGGTCTCTATCTCCTTTTCTCTGCACCCACGGGAATGCCCCCCCCCCCCGTTTTTCCTTCTTTGAGGTCGAGTTTTTGACGGCAGAAGGCAGCAGTTGGTCAGATCTCCAATTCTCCCTTATGAGGTTGGAACACAAACTTTGACCTCAGTGCGAAATTGCCAGTATCCTATGCTGCTGTTATGTGCTGTCAAGTTGAAGATATTTATCAGGAGGTCTTTAAACCGAATCCAACAGGAGAGGGAGAAGTACATGCCGGTGTAACGACAAAGGCTTATGCACTACAACAGAGAGAGTAGCTCACAACAGCACCTACTAATAGTCTTCCAAAAAATGAAGGAAGAAAGTAGAGTATCTGCTAATTCTTCCCTGCAGTGCCCCACCTCTCGATCATTTTTGGCCCATTCATTACCCTCACTGCCCCGTCCTAACCAAGGGAGAACGAGGCTTTCCAGCCTGGAAAAGTAACACGAACCGCAAGGATCAGACAGCGTGTCTGCCTGAACCGGAAGCCAAGAAGAGGGGAAGCGGAAACCACCGACACCCTGAATTCCTGTTGCTTCTCTGATCGTGCGGCTTGCTTTGTTGGGGATACGGGACAGAACGGGAAAGATCGCGGAGCGCGGCCGCTCCTTGCCGGCTGCCGCTTTTCGACCAGCTCAATGCCGGAGAAGAAGCCGAGGCGTCGTGGTGTGGTCAGCAGCTTGCGGGCTCGTTCAAGCAGCTTGGTGGGCGCGCCGGCTCGGGGCCGCTGACCGAGGCTGCGGACTTGAAGGCGGCAGGCGGGTGAGCGGGACTCGGCAGAGAAACCTGGCCAAGCGGCGGGCGGGGGGAGCTTGTTTGGTTCGCCTCTCGCTGCAGGTGCTGCTTGCTTAAGCTGGGTAAGGAGGACGGGGCGCTTGCGACCTCCACGCAAAGCGGCCGCAGAAAAAGGGAGACGAGCCCGCGAAGTTGAGCTTCGCGAGTAGAAGCGACCTTGCCGCGGCATCATAGCACATCAGCCCGACACCGGGGGCACGCGGTGCCTTTGGAATCTGTTTATATCACATTTCTGCTATAGACTCCAGCGTTTTAGAGAGGGACAGTTCCATGCGCTGCGCCGGAGCTTTCGGTTACGCCTGACACTTCCCACACACAACCGCTTCCTTGTGCTGTTCACGGGGGACTGCTGGGCTCGTGTGATCGGACCGCAGCCTCTTGCCATACCTTCTTTTCTTCGCTTCCAAAGGCAGGTTTCGAGTTCGGGCAGTTCGGGGGGTGGGGGCAGGATTGTTTCTTTTCGCTTATTGTTTTTGAACAGTGCCTGCCCTGGTGATGCTGATTGGCAGCAACTTTATCTTCATAGTCGGGTTGTGTCAAGGGGTAGGCTACGATGGCTGGAAGACCCTCAGACCCATCACCCTACTGTCCATACGAACTTGCTGAAATAAAGGGGCCTCTTACATCTGATCCCCTCCTCAGATAACTGGCCATTTGCCCACATGTGCCTCACTTCCTGTTACCGCCTCCCTGGAATTATTAAAAGCACAAAATACAGCAGCACAAGCTCTTCGCTTCCCTGTGCTGTTCACGGGGGACTGCTGGGCTCAGCATAACTATAAAATATAAACATTTAAGGGCACAATTGTAGGGGATGCTCACAATGCTCCAAATATCATGTTTATGGGCATCCTGTGCAGAATTAGGAGGACTTGGATAGCCAATTTCAGTTGTCCAACTGCAGTGCTTCAGAGTGGGAGGGAAGGAGGCTGAGGCATTGACAGGATATGTTCTGTCTTGGTGGCACTGGCCTCTCGCCCCATGGAATGCCCTCTAAAAATCCTCCAAGATTGCTTTTGTATCCTTGGAGAAGCAGCCAGCACAGTTCTTTCCATGCAAGATTTGGAGGGGAGGGAGGCAGATCTGAGCATGCATTCCCATCTCTAGTACCAGAGCAATTTTCAGCCTTACAGCTGCAAAGCAAAGGAATCCAATGACCGTCTAGGGAGCATATAACTGCTCTGTAAAAATACAGTATAAAACCAAAGTAAACCTTTAAAAAACCAATAACAGTGCAAAGATCAAAGAATACTATAACAGGTTTAAAACAATTGAAATGGAAAAAGTAAAACACCCTAGAGTGCCTCTTTGCGGGGGAAAGTGCATTCCCCCAAAGACAGACAAAAGCAGGGATTCTGGATTACTTTGGGAAATCAGTTTAAATAGATCTAGGAAGCAGTTGTTTCGTGCAAAAGGAATTGCAACCCTATTAATGTTAGACTGAAATGAAAATGGTTTTATCCATATATAAATGGTTGTACATGGGCAAGGATGAGGAGTCAATCTGGAAGATGTAGGCTATATGTGGATTTAGTCTGCTACTTATCTTTCTAGGTCTTACCAATGAAGGTGCTGAGGAATAAAATAAAGCCAACAACAATCCAGTGTTCAGCAGCAACCTGTACTTGGCTCTTGAGTGTGGGTTAGTGTGTTCTCTGAACTCAGCTAATGGCTTAAATGTTTTAAAGCTCTGCTTGTGGTCTGTGTGTTTGTGTTTTGGCATTTTTTTTAGTCACTGTAAGTTTGGGAAAAGGGAGTAGTGCTGCATAACCCCTCCCCCAATATTCTTTGATTGTTAACAATTGCAATGAAGTACAGTGGTACCTCTGCTCACGAATGCTTCAGTTCACGACCAAATCGGGTCACGAACAAAAATTTCATAAAAATTTTAACTCAGGTCGTGAACTCTGCATTGGGTGGCGACCATGATCGCAGCCGTCTCCCCTCCCCCAAGTGGGGAGATGGTCGTGATCGTGCTGGGGGTGGGGAGATGGCCGAGATCGCACCCATCTTTCCTGCAGGAGTGCAACTGCAATCTTGGCCATCTCCCCCCACAGCACGATTGCGCCCGTCTCCCCCGCCCCCCAGCACGCCCCATTTGCGCCCATCTCTCCCTCCCCCAGCACACCCGCGCTCGTGCCATCTCTCCCTCCCCAGTGCGCCGGGATGACGGGTGCGTGCAGGGATGATGAGCGCGGTTGTGTGGGGGGGGGGGGACAGGGAGATGGCTGCCTTTGTGGGGGGGGAGATGGGCGTGATCTTTGTTGTTCTTTGTCACTTCGCTTCACATTTTTCTGATTAAAAAAGTTACAGAACGGATTAACCTTATTTACGTTGAATCTTATGGGGAAATTTAACTTTCATGACCATTTTGGGTCACAACCAAAGTCCTGGAATGGATTAAGTTTGTGAGCCAAGGTACCACTCTACAGATTGTTATGTGAAAGACTCTACATATTTCCATTTGTAGGATTGCGGGCATGCAGCTTTTAATTTCTTAAGACTGTGATAAAGAGCTTCATATCGTGGTCTGAACTGTTATCTCCTTTTATTATAGACTGCAATGGAACTTCTGGAAGAAGACCTGACATGCCCCATTTGTTGTAGTTTGTTCGATGATCCACGAGCATTGCCTTGTTCACATAACTTCTGCAAGAAATGTTTGGAAGGGATCTTGGAGGGAAATGCTCGGAACATGATTTGGAGACAGTCTCTCTTCAAATGCCCCACATGTCGGAAGGAAACCTCTGTTACAGCAGTTAACAGCCTCCAAGTCAACTATTCCCTTAAAGGAATTGTGGAGAAGTATAACAAGATTAAGGTAACCACAAAAATGCCCATGTGTAAAATGCACAGTGGCCAGCCTCTCAACATTTTTTGCCAGACAGACACAAAATTGATATGTGGTGTCTGTGCAACTCGGGGAGATCATATAAAACATGCGTTTTGCTCCATTGAAGATGCTTACTTTCAGGAAAAGCGTGCTTTTGAGATATTGTTTCAGGGTTTTGAAATATGGCATTGTGGGGATGCACATTCTCGTCTTGAAACACTGGAAACCAGCAAACGGAAAGGTCTCCAGATGCTGACAAAGGACTACGACAGAGTAAAAGAATTTTTTGAGAAGTTGCAGTATACCTTGGAACAAAAAAAGAATGAGATACTTTCAGACTTTGAGACGATGAAACTTGCAGTTATGCAGGCATATGACCCAGAAATTAATAAACTGAATACTATCATAAGAGAGCAACGAACAGCTTTTAGCATTGCAGAAGCTTTTAAGGATGTGTCTGAACCCATTGTATTTTTGCAGAAAATGCAAGAATTTCGAGAGAAAATCAAAGTGATCAAGGAAACCAGATTGCCTTGTCTTACTGTAGATATCAACTCCACAATTAAAGCCTTTGATACTAGACAGTGGGAACAATTTAAGCTAGCAGATGTGGACAAACTTTCTTTACCACAGGAGAAAGACCCATTTTACAGGGTAATTTCTCCATTCTTTTCATCCAAGTTTATTTTAACTACTTTGTTTTGTTTGCTTATATTTGTTACTATGCATATATGCTTTATGGATTTTTTGGTTGATAGTCTACAATACTGGAAAACTCTTGTCTCTGCATTTGGCTCAGGGTATCTGGCAGAGACAACAGAGATGGCAGATCATGCTATCTTGTACTGGGAGAAAATGACAGATTGTGCTGTAGTTTTAAGTGAAAAATGTGTAAATTATATCCTTATAATATTGGATAACATTGCTCAATTTGTGTACAAATACAAACTTTTATAACTATTACTACTGTACAGGAAGCATGTATTAGAAGTGATTGTTTTAATGTTTAACAACAGGGAAGAAAGACATGGATAAGCTCCAGTGGGTAAATTTTTGAAATTACCTTTCTCTTTAAATACTGATTCTATTTATTTTCCTGTGGCTTAAGTGTTTTGCACACTTTGATTCTAAAAGAAGGTGACTACTTATTTGAAAATGCTCCTTTCTGGTACTCTTGTTTTTCCAAAGTGAGAAATGAATTGGATGTATAATATGATTGTGCATATTAGAATGTGTTAAAAATGAAATGCAGAACAGCAGAGTGAATTTCAGAGTAAAGGAGGGCATGGTATAGGTTGAGAAAAAGCATAATCACATGTATGCAAGCAGTCAGCCTGGACTTTCAGAAATAACATACATTCTAAAATACATGAATTTTTCATTAATTTTTATCTCATCTTTCTACTAAAAATGGTGCTCAAGGTAGTTGTTGTTGTTGTTGTTGTTGTTATTATAACATTTCTATGCCGCCCCTTGCCGAAGCCTCGAGGCGGCTTACAACACAATAAAATACATTGAAATACAATAGAACATAATAAATTACCATTAAATACAAAAATACAAAAAATACACTGAGTTACAAACATAATAATATAAAATTAAAATTATCAGTATAAAATAAGTAAATAAATAATATAGGAGGAGAAAAGAGAAGGAAGAAGAAGTTGCCCTGGCCAGATCATATGTTTTAACAATTAAAATGATGTTTAAATAAAAAGGTCTTTACCTGGCGCCGAAAAACCAGTAACGACGGTGCCAGGCGGACCTCTTTGGGGAGTGAATTCCATAGGTTGGGCGCCACCGCAGAGAAAGCCCTCCTCCGAGTACTTACTCTCCTAATTTCTTTCATGGAAGGTTCCCGGAGAAGGGACTCTCCCGCAGATCTCAAAGGGCGGGCGGGCATATACGGACGTAAGCACTCGTTCAGGTAGCCAGGACCCAAGCCGTTTAGGGCTTTATAGGTCATAATCAACACCTTGAATTGGGCCCGGGCTTCAATGGGAAGCCAGTGAAGCTGACGGAGGACTGGAGTCATGTGAGCATAACGCCCCGTCCCCGTCAGCAACCTGGCAGCTCTATTTTGCACCAATTGAAGTGTTCGGACCGTCTTCAGGGGAAGCCCCATGTAAAGCGCGTTACAGAAGTCTAGGCGGGAAGTCACCAGCACGTGTGTCACCGTCGCCAGGCAGTCGTACTCCAGGTAGGGGTGCAGCTGATTAATCAGCCGAAGCTGAAGGAAGGCACTCCTCGCCACCGCTGTCACCTGAGCTTCCAAAGAAAGCTCCGGGTCGAGGAGTACTCCTAAGCTGCGGACCTTATCCCTAAGAGGGAGTGTTGCACCATTCAGGACCAGGTCAAATCCACCCTCTCCAAAATAAAGTATAACTAAAACAAATCAACTGGAAATATATGTACAAGTAAAAATGTGCTTAAGCCATCTCAGCAGTGTATATGCATAAGGATAAAAATAATAATCACAGTAACTTTTTAAAAATTAAGTAGATTCTGATTGTGAACAGATTTACCTTAAAAGTGAGTCTGATTTTTTTAAAAAAATATTTCTATGAATACATATCCACTTGAGGATACATTCCTGAGAGAAGGGCATCCCTCACCTGCTTCTAGATGTTTTTAACAAGTATTCTGGAGGGATGAAAAGAGCTGGAGGAATTTCCATTCTGCATTTTGCTTTGGATGTTCTTTTAGTGCAAATTCACAGAAACCCTTACTGAGGAAACAGTTGGGGCAAAACTCAAATCACTTATCTTTAGCTGACAAATGGGACCTGCAGTAAAATGAAGCAGCATAGCCTTACCCCACAACAGGAATGTTCCTGCTCAGGTTTCCAGTTAGTCAGCTCTGCTGTGCTCTGTGCTGTAAGCTGAAAGGGCTTGATCAGAGCTGTTCACTCCCCTTCCCACTCTAAGGAAGTCCTTGCAGATACGTTTTTGTGAGGTGAGGATTGCCTTCTTTTTTATTTATTTGAAATTTTTTTATCCAAACCACCAAACTATTTATAATTGTAGGACAATGTACAATTTATGTTCACAACATAAATGCAACAATAAAATAGATAAATCCCACAGTAATTAGACTAGGCAGAAATTAGCATGGTGCTAAAAAGAATATAACCTTCAGGCCTGCTGTAATGACCAGGGGTTTTTCCTTTCTTCCCAGAATGTTATCAGCACAGTCCACAGTCCCAATGGGAGTGTGTTACAAGGAAGAAAACAAAGGAGGAAAAAAATCAAAAAACAGGGACCTCCTCCACTGAACTCAGCCACCAAAGTCCTGTTAGCTCTCCCTGTTTGCTTGCTCTCTGGGAGCTTGGTTGGTTTTATACAACAGCCCCTAGACCAGCTGGGGCAGCTTCCTCTGATCTGCTCACCTAGAAGTCAGGAATCAGAATTTGGAAGACCAAATAAGGGATGGATTGGCTCTATAAAGTAAGCCAAAGCCTTGAATGTAGAGTAACTAAGCAGGGATGCCATGTGTACAACATTTTGAAGAGCTTTCATTCATAGTGTTGCCATAAAGCAGAGACAACTTGATGGCATGTAACAACTATTAAAAAGTGTGTGTGTAGGGAGGGGTGCACATAGCTTCATTCACAGTTTTATAGCTTCTCAGCTGCATGCTTTAATGGGAAGCACAAGTGTACTTTTGCTTAGTTCTCTAGATTACCATAGAAATAAACTAGAATACCTATAGTGGCTAAGGTGGGAAAAATGAGGGGAAAAATGTATCCATGGTTGCATGTGTATGGTTCATACGGCCTCTGCAGGCACATGAGTGAAGGCACAAATGCAATGAAAATAAACTTATGCAGGTAGTTCAAGGCAAAATGGAGGTTGAAGATGGGCATCCCACAGCTCTTGAGAATAAAAGAGACATTGCTCTTTTTGCAGAATAATGACCAGGGCCAGGGTTGGAAAACTTCCACTGGCCAAGAGGCCAATCCACCTAGACCCACAAGGGGCTGCATACCTCCCCACCAAATAGTTGCAGTTGTACTGCCAAAGTTCAGTGGAGGCAAAAATAAGTACAAGTGACAATTTCCTTTTAAAGTAAAATATCCAGGGCTCACACTTTACTGAGAAATAAACTGGGAGAACAGTTCTGCATCCCAATGAAGTTTGTGTTGTCCATATGCATTTTTAACGGAAAATCATGGTAGGGGCAGTGGGGAGATTTTGCAGCAATTCAGGAGTAAAGACAGAGCCAACAAAAATTATCAGGGCACATGCAGCCCACTGGCACATACTCACCAACCTTGGCCTAATGTTTATTTCTGTTGTTTCAACCATCACATTCATATCAATCAAATCAAAACAAAACTAAATATAAACTATAAAAACACCAAAAACAGTTGAAAGTTTTAAGCAACATTATGTTATCCCCCAAAAGTTGAGGGATTACATAAAGTATATCAAAGATAAAGTTAGAACCAAGATAATATGATTTAAGCATGCACTAAATACACAAATACATTAAAAACTTCCAATTAAGTCCTTACAATTCATGATACAGGCCTCAACAAAACTCCTAGGCACTGCGAAACTAATGACTTACTGTCACAACAGCGGACAACTACACATTTTCAAACCCTTGCTACAACCATGAAGGATCCAGCTTAAGGAGAAAAGTATGAAAGACTAAGGAACAGTTTGCATTTTCAGCATCTACTTTCACTCTTTCTCTGGAGGGAGGAATACCAGAAGCTATACATTTACAGACTTTCTGTAGCAATGTTTCTAGTTTCTGAAGCAGCTAAATGCACCATGATTACAAATCTCAGCTATAGCAACACTTAGTAACTTGGTGCAGGTTTAGGAGTTTGGGAGCAAGATGCCCTTAATGACTGGGTTTGCCTGACACACTGGGCCACGGGGAGTGGTAGCTTAGTGTTGCTTGAACCTCCTGCTTACAGACCATCCCAACTAGCCTTGGAGTTTAGGAACCCCCCAATGGCTTATTGTGCTGTCCAAAGCTGGACAACATAAGCCATGGTCAGTCCAAAGGGCTGGAAAGCCTGTAGGCCAGAGTGGCGAAAAAGGCTGCCACTCTGGCTAAGGGGTTCCAGCAGTTTCTCTTTTGCTCCTGCTGATGCCAGGAGAGAGTGGGATTGCTTGCAAGCGCCGTTGGGTAGACTGCTTCCATGGATGAAGAAAGCAGAAGGAAAAAACCTAAGAGTCCTGTACAAGATCATGTTGTGTCCAAGTTTTACTAGACTCCAAGTTTGTCCATTCGATTGGGCTTTCAACATCTTTAAAAAATGTTCTTTCAGTTGCAATATTTGGTTCCCAAGTGACCAGCTCTGTAAACAGAATGGCATCTGTGTACATGTTTATTGTTGCCAGGGAGTCTTGTGGCTGGCTCAGGCCTTTTCTTATACAGCACGCACAACTACTGAGCAAGGTATGCTTTTTTTGCTTCTGAGTTCTGAGACATAATAGTTGGAGACATAATTTTCCAGTGAAGGTGAGAATGATGAACAATCAAGATCTGATCATTTTGAATGTTGGAGGAATGAAATTCACCACGTGGCCTTCTACACTGCAGCAATTCCCTGACTCTAGATTAGCAAGGATGCTACATGGCAATGACCCAGAATTTAAGTTGGTGAATGGCCAGTTCTTTGTGGATCGTGATGGAGTTCTGTTCAGCTATATTCTGGACATTTTAAGAACACTCCAGCTTTCCCTGCCTAGTGACTTCTCAGACTATCGGAGGCTTCAGAGAGAGGCTGACTTCTATGGACTCTTTTCTGTGGCTGAACTTCTAGGTCAAGAAAATTTGTTGAAGCCAAAGCCAGAGATCTTGGAAATAAGATTTTTGCTCCAGGAAACACAGGCTTTTTTCCGGGTGTTTGGCTCCTGCAGCATCACTGTTGGTGAACTGGCTGGACGGATCACTGTTTTTGCAGAACAGCTTGTGGGAACAACCTGGGAAAATCATAATAAACCTTCTCAGAAGTCACTGGTTCCCCTTTCTTTGGAAAGGCCTTCCCATCATGATCTTCTTTTCCAGTGTGGTACTGATCAGCTTGTGGCAAGGTATATTATAATACTTTTCAACTTTTTCATTATCTAGAATTCAGAATGAGTAATGAAAAAGTCAAATTTGCTGATGACACCATTTATTACTTAGGGTAGAGGTTGGGTTAGGGTAATTAAAACAAAAATGGACCATGGAAAGTTCTAGAAAGATGGTGCTGATTATATTTATAGCCCACCTATTCCCACTAATTGGGACTTGAGGCAGCCCACAACATTAAAATTCATACAATTTAAACATTCAAAATGTAGAAAAGGTAAAAATATAATTAAATCAGTGAATTGTAAAAAAAGAAAAGAATAAATACCCAGATTAAATGGCAATTTTCATTATAGAAAGGAAAAAGCGAGTCAGAAGGGGTCTCACAGGCCATCTAGTCTGACCCCTGGCTCCAGCTGGATCCGCTCATGTAATCCCCAACATGTGGTGGTCCAATCTTTCCTTGAACATGCTCACTGATGGGGCTTCCACCATGAACCTTGGTAGCCCATTCCATATCCTAGGGGTTCTAACCATCAGGAAATACTTCCTGACATCCAACCTGGAAGTATGATTTAAGAAAATACGGAAGTATGCTTTAAGAAAATTGTTAGTGAATATTTTTTACTGAGGAATTACTTTTGCTTTCATAAGGCTCTCAAACTTATTTGGCATTTCTCTTTTTGGTGGCTTTATTAACATGTATATATCTACACTTCAGTAAATATGATCTCAATAGTTTTCAAGGAATGGGTTACTACATGTGTGCAAGGGCATACATGCAAAAGAGAGAGCGATTCGAGTCAGAACTGTGGCAAGTCTGAATTCTTTTCTCATGCAGCCTTCCTATTGCCTCTTGCATTGTTAATAGAAGTGTTCGTCATACATAGCTGCCCTTGATGTGTCAAGGGCACAGAGACTCGTGGACTTCTCAGCAGGAGGGGTCAAACTAGGGGTCCCCCCCCCCCCGCCCCGGGTTTCCATTTCTCTGCTTTTCTATATATTCTATTAAGCAACCACAAGGTGGAGCAGTGGTATAACTGTAGATTTGCAGCACTATAGGATGCTTTTATTTTTATTTATCTTAAAACATACCACCACATTCCCATAGACTCTGATTGTTGTGATTTAAAATTTAATACTAAACTTTCCTAATTCTAAGAAGACCTGGAAAACACAAGAGAGGGTCTGAAGTCCCCCAGGATTCCATGAGTGAGGTTGCATGAGTGCACAAGAAATGATCTGTGTTAGACAAGTCCATATTCTTAGCTGCTGTTTCTTAGGTTTGGAACATGCTTATTTCAAAAATCAAAGAATATTTGCAAATCTTTATTTTTGTAAGCCATCCTGAGGGTGGTGCAAAGGAAAGCATATAAATGTTTTAATTAATTAAAAATTTAAAAAAACTTTGGAAATTTGTAAAGTCAATTTGTGCTGACTTCTTAGTTATAGGTTTCTAATAGGTTATTTTCTACCTTTAAACTTCAGGAATGGGAATGATTAAATATTTAGCACAAAGCAAATTCTTAAAAAACTTAAAAGTAAAATGAATTGACACTAACAACATTTTTTTCCTTTTTTGCAGGTATGTTTCCATAAAACCTGATCAGAGGAAACTGTTCAGTGGTGTTAATGTTCTAGGCTTGTTGGTTGACATATTTTTCAAAGAAGGATTTCATTTAGTAAGCACCAGGACAGTCTCACCTGAAGAAAAAATAGAATGTTATTGTTTTGAAAGAATGAGACAGCCAGATACTTTTACCATTAGTACGAGCCTAACACAGCGAGGCACTACTATACCACAAACAAAGCCAACCCAGAGCCATAAAAAGAAATGATCTATTATATATTACAAATGATTGCATGAGGTATACAAGCAGCATCTGTAATGCAATAGAAGAGCACACCATGCTGTCGCCAGCTTGCTTCTTTTATTGGACTTGTGTTATTTACTTTATTTATTACCTTTTTATACTGCCCAATAGCCTGCAGGCTCTCTTGTGTTAGTGAAATAAGAAAATTATCAGTTCATTGATTCATATCAACTGGGAATACAAATATAAAAATTATATCCATTGGAAATTTAGTTTTCTGCCTGTTATTTTTATTTGCTTTTACCACATGCTATTGAACCTATTATCCATTGTATGACTTTTTGATCAGAAACATGTGCAGTAAGACCTTTCATTTACAAGTTTGATATTTAGCACTCCTCCTGTTGCATGGTGTCAATCTACTTTAATGTCTGACACTTGACTCACTGTCCCATCACTGTTTCTCCTTCATTCTTTATTTTCCCCAAACTACTTTTATCACAGTTTTTCAGTGCTTGTGGATTCAGTGTGTTACAAAGATGTGTGCTCTTTTGCGTTTCTTTTATACAAAGGAACTCTTTATACAAGGGTTATTGTTCAGATTGTCTAGTAGTCCTATTACTCTTCCTGGTGATAGTGATTTTAAAGCTGTAGAACTTGGATCTGATAGGGACTTGAGTTGTTTGCAACATTGCCCCCAGCCTTTCCCCTCCACGCTAGGGCCCATCCTATGGCGGCTTTACCTGTAGCTTGCTACATAATATAACAACAAAACTGCATGCTAGCTGGAGCTCACTTATTTGGGAGCTGCAGTGATACCAAATCATACCCAAATTTTGTATAATTTCCTTTGTGAAATACTCAAGAGGGAGAAATGAAATGAAAGAGAATGAAAAGCAGTGCAAAAAATTCACTTTAGGATTTCCTGCTGAAAGTGTTTGCTGCCCATTAAGTTAATGACCTTCTAACAAGTATTATCCTTATTCAGTTCCAAACCTTGTACAATCAATCCAGCCTTCCAAATGTGGGCTATAAATAATATCTCCTCCAAAACCTGTGCCAAAGTTTTGTGCCACTACCAAAAGTGAGAAAATGTCATACCCTAGATGGGGCCTGATACTTAACATTGCTAATGTTATCATCAAACATGTAACTTCTCTGTGTTCTGAAACTTTTTAGCCAATTTTATTGTCCGTTTTTCAATGATAATGCCTCATTTATCTTGCAAGCAGTCTTTTGCCCCCCCCCCCCCCACTGCCCCCAGCCCCTTTCCTCAGTTCATCCATCTTGCTCTCCTGGCAGGTCCCATTCTCCCCTGAGAGGAAGAGAGAGAATGGACTCCGTGAACAAGCACTTGTGCCCTCTCTCTGGACACTATGGCATTTTGGATTGGGTTTACTGATCCCAGTCCTTGGACCCACATTGACCAGAGACACAGGATGGGAGGAAGCACCTTGGTCCTGCCGGTGCTGCTATTTCACATGAGTAGGCCACCAGGCAGAAGAAATGGTGTTGCTGCCTCTGCCCCCTGAGTCACGCAACAGCTGGATCTTAAGTAAGCAAGTCAATCCTGGGGAAAGAGTGCAAGCAAAATGGTGGAGAAAGTGCCTGCTGAGGTGCATCACCTTTTGGGCACTCACTCCCACTGCATGGCAGTGCCAAACCTAGTCCCCTGTGTCCAGAGAGAGAGGGCAGGTTAGTGAGCAGAGATCACCGCTTTTGTGGGCTACCACTCACTTGCTTTGGGTGAGATTATTTACTTATTTAAAACTTTTCTATACCATCCCATACTTAAAAGTCTTGGGACAGTTTACAGCAAATTAGTCCAAAATAATAATAATAATAATGATAACAACAACAACGACAATAACAATTGCCCAGCATCCAAAGTTTGGTGAGGGTGTTCAAAGATAGGCTGGACATGCACATGGTGGGCATGTCATGAGTGGAGCTGGCTGGAGCTGGGGGTCAGCTGGGGGTCTTCCAGCAATCTTAATTCCAACTGGTGATTCATCTAGCCTCATCTTTCTCAGGATGTGCTCTGCATTTACGTTTAATAGGCAGGGCGACAGAATACAGCCTTGCCGAACTCCTTTCTCAATTTTGAACCAATCAGTGGTTCCATGTCCAGTTCTCACTGTTGCTTCTTGACCCACATATAGGTTTCTCAAGAGACAAAGAAGATGGTCTGGTACTCCCATCTCTTTAAGAACTTGCCACAATTTGTTGTGATCCACACAATCAAAGGCTTTAGCATAGTCAATGAAGCAGAAGTAGATGTTTTTCTGGAACTCCCTAGCTTTCTCCATGATCCAGTGTATCTTGGCAATTTGATCTCTAGTTCCTCTGCCTCTTCGAAATCCTGCCTGTATTTCTGGTAGTTCTCAGTCCACATACTGCTGGAGCCTAGCTTGTAGGATTTTGAGCATAACTTTGCTAGCATGTGAGATGAGTGCAATGGTGCGGTAGTTTGAACATTCTTTGGCATTGCCCTTCTTTGGGATGGGAATGTAAACTGACCTTTTCTAATCCTGTGGCCACTGCTGAGTTTTCCAAGTTTGCTGGCATATTGAGTGTAGCACTTTTACTGCATTGTCTTTTAAGATTTTGAATAGCTCAACTGGAATACTGTCTCCTCAGCTAGCTTTGTTGTTGCTCACACTTCCTAAGGCCCATTTGGCTTCACATTCCAGGATGCCTGGCATGAGGTCAGTGACCACCCCATAATGGTTATCAGGGACGTTAAGCTCTTTCTTGTATAGTTCTGTGTAATCTTGCCACCTCTTCTTAATCTCCTCTGCCTCTGTTAGGTCCCTGCCATTTTGGTCCTTTATCATGCCCATCTTTGCATGAAATGTTCCCTTCCTATCTCCAATTTTCTTGAAGAGATCTCTAGTCCTCCCTATTCTATTGTTTTCTTCTATTTCTTTTGCACTGTTCATTTAAGAAGGCATTCTCATCTCTTCTAGCTATTCTCTGGAATTCTGCATTCAATTGGGTGTATCTTTCCCCCTTGTCTTTCGCTTCCCTTCTTTCCTCAGCTATTTGTAAAGCTTCCTCAGACAGCCATTTTGCTTTCTTGCATTTTTTTCTTTGGGATGGCTTTAGTTGCTACCTCTTGTACACTGTTGTGAACTTCCATCCATAGTTCTTCAGGCACTCTGTGCAGAATAGAGCTGCCAGGTTGCTGACGGGGACTGGGCGTTGTTCTCATATAACCCCAGTTCTCCATCAGCTCCATTGGCTCCCGATTGAAGTCTGGGCCCAATTCAAGGTGTTGGTTATCACCTATAAAGCCCTAAACGGCTTGGGACCTGGATAGCTAAAGGAACGCTTGCGCCCATATATGCCCTCCCACCCCTTGAGATCAGCAACGGATGCCCTTCTGCAGGAACCCTCTGTAAATATTAGGAGGGTGAGTACCTGGAGGAGGGCTTTCTCTGCGGTGGCGCCCCATCTATGGAATGCGCTCCCCAGAGAGGTCCACCTGGCGCCATCATTATTTGTTTTTCAGCGCCAGGCAAAGACCTTTTTATTTAAAATTTATTTTAATTGCTAAATTATTGTATTTATTAGGATTTTAAAATCAGCCGAGAATGCACTGGGGGTTTTAAAGTTTTTTTCTTTTAAATTGTTATATTGTTATTGTTTATGTATGTTTTTTTGTATTTTTTGTGAGCCACCCCGAGGCTTTGTTGCGATGGGGGCGGCATAGAAATGTTTTAAATAAATAAAAAAATAGATTAATTCCTAATCTAATTATTGTGATGTATTGCATTTGTTTTTTGTCAAAATAATGTGGGGGGGAGATCTAATAAATCTATTTGTCACCTCTACTGTATATTCATCAGGAATATGATTTAGGTCATACCTGAGTGGCCTAGTGCTTTTTCCTACTTTCTTCAATTTAAGCCTAAATTTAAGCCGAAATAACAAGAAACTCATGATCTGAGCCACAGTCAGCTCCTGGTCTTGTTTTTACTGACTGTATAGAGCTTCTCCATCTTTGGCTGCAGAGCACATAGTCAATCTGATTTCTGTGTTGACCGTCTGATGATGTCCATGTGTAGAGTCATCTCTTGGGTTGTTGGAAAAGAGTGTTTGCTATGACCATCGTATTCTCTTGACAAAATTCTACCAGCCTGTGCCCTGCTTCATTTTGTACACCAAGGCCAAACTTGCCTGTTATTCTGGTTATCTTTTGGCTTCCTACTTTAGCATTCCAATCCCTCATGATGATAAGAACATCATTTTTTGGAGTTAATTCTAGAAGGTGTTGTAGGCCTTCATAGAACTGGTCAACTTCAGCCTCTTCAGCACCACTGATTGGAGCATAGACTTGGACTACTGTGATGTTGAATGGTTTGCCTTGGATTTGAACTGAGATCATTCTGTTGTTGCCGAACTCAGCCAGTCAACAGCTAGGGCAAACCTGGGTGGACTCCAGACCCAAGTCAAAAGGAGCCTGAGACGAGACTTAGAGCCAAAACCACCTTTATTCTAGTGCAGTATAGAATAAAGGGAAACAAAAGGGGATGTTCAGCCCAAAGTAGTGTCTCAAAAGTTGCAACCCGTACATGCATTTTATATCCTAGGTAACCAGTTAGGTCACCTAATACACTTCTAATGCATCAATGCATCAATGTAGCCACACCCCCACTGCTGTTAGCTTCAAAGAATCTTTTCTTCTGTCAAGGACCAGACATTTCCCATGTCTATTTCTTATCTGCTCGAGATTCACACAGCTTTGCCATGTTCTTACTCCCTGTACATCTGTAACTTTCATGGCGGCTAGAACCAGTTTCCACTGTCCCTTTGATTACTGTATTTGAGGTCAGGCTAGTGTGTTAGCTGTGGGTTACACAAAGTTTATTTTGTTCTTATCCACCCTCCCTTCTGGGACAGTATAACTGTGTTGTTTTTACTATGTGGCCTTCCTCTGGCCAATAACTTTTGGGGTGTTTTGGGGTGCTGCAATTGGCAACACTGGGATAGTGTCTCTCCCACCCCCGTAATGTTTGGTCATATCTATTTATCATTCTAACCTCTAGTATTGTACTGTTCATATCGTGCATGAAAAGAACCCCCTCCTAAAGCTAAGAGAGCTTCTCTTTTTTGGGGAGAGTTGTTGTCTTTGGGTTAGCAGAGTGGAAGAAAAGTTAAACTCCCTACCACGACTGCGGTCCAGATCGAGAGGCTTATTCTTGCTTCCAGCTGTTACGAGCCCGGGGTGCGCGTGTACTCAGCGCATGCTCACGTGTATTAGCTCCACCAGCAAAAAAAAACATTATTCTATACGCTGCTCGAGCGGAATCCCTCCCCCATCACCTCCAACGCCAATTAACTGTCGTAATCACCGTTTTATCAAACTGTTCAGACTTGTTTCGCATCCACAGTTCAGCCTTCCCCCTTTCAAAAAAAAAAAAAAAAGGCGAGATTCCCTCCACTTGAAACCGATAACTGACAGTCCCGGAGACTTTCCTTTTCTGATGGGTGTTTTTAGTCCAATCATAGTAGAGGGGCGGTGTCGCGGGGTTGTCATGGGTACCGGGTTGCGTGTCCTGCAACCAAACGCGGATGGTTACAAAAGCGTGCATGATTGCCTCGTGTATTTCAGGGATTCTGTAGAAAGTACATTCTAACAAAAGAGCTCCGAATTATGGTTTATAATAATTATTATTATGTGCTTTAGAAGAACATTTCGCGTGCCACTCCCGGTGATCACGGAGCTGTCATGATTCATTTCGGAAAGGGTAACCGAGGACTATTTCCTCCACTTGGCGGAGGGACGCTGTGAGGTCGGGGATGCGCCCTCTGTGCATGGGAGGCGGGCACGGGCAGCGGGCAGTGGGCAGTGGGCTGAAGACGGGGCATTAACACCTGCTCCTCAGGCTAGCGTGGCGGAGGCTATGGAGGTCACGGGGGAAAGCTCGCATGCTCTCCCTCTGGGGCCATTCACATCGACTCCTAGAGAGTCTTCTCCCGACCTCGAACGGGTGAGTGGAGCTGGGGGGGGGGGGGTCGATGCCACAATTCCTGGGAAAGGGTCGGCGGATGGGGGGCACACCCAGGGTGCTCTTGGTGTAGGTGATTGACTCATCGCTTGCTTTTTAAAAACGTCCCTCAGCACGGTTCAGGCTACAGGTATCCTTGCAGAAAATAGATCGCAGCACATGCAAACTGAAGTGGTACCTACCCAGGAGCAAGTCCCCTAGAAACAGTTAACCCCGTGTTAATGTGTACAAGTTTGCACTGTTTAAATCTGGCCCCACAGTGTTGAGCACGACCGAATCATTAATTTCAACTGATTAAACTTCTTGAGGCGAGATGGCTAGAGTTTACTTGATAACTTCGAAGCAGGTTTTAGTGAATGCTGTTGCCCCTGCTCCTCTGTATTGGATTGGGCTCTGATACTGAGATGGCAGAACTTCTGTTACTTCTCTGTAATATACAGTGGCTCTTAGTTATAAATTGTCCTGAGAGCATCGGCTGTTAGGCAATATGGAAATTAAATTAACAAGCTTGTCACGAAAAAGCACACATATTAACTTATTACTCCACATTGGTATGGTTAAACTGTTACAGCAAAATAGAGCCTTTATTCTACTCGAACAAATTGTGAAATCTTTGGTCATGCAGATATCAGACATACTCAAGGATTGGTATGTGTTGGATATCTAAAAACCAAATTATGACTCTAGAGGCTGTAAAGATCCAACCCAAGACACTTTCTGACCACAACCCATTGGAGAGAATATGGTGGGAAGAACATGGAGACTTAATGACAACCTTTTGTTAAAAGAAGATATTTTGAAAAGTCAGAAGTAGTATTGGAAGAATTTTTCAGACTAAATAATACAAGTGATGCCTCTATAGCTACAATATGGGAAGCCAGTAAAACTTAAATGAGAGGACACTTTTTAGGAATAATGTCTAAGCAAAAGAGAGAGTGATCAGAACAAAGAATTCTGAAATGAATTCAAATACTAGAGGACCATCATTAAAAAAACAAGACAAATCAATTTAACTGAACTCAGACAATTAAATCAATTAGACATGATAGAGACACAGGAGATACAAAAGAAGTTGCAATTTTTAAAACAAAAACACTTTGAACATGCAAATCTGGAAGATAGTTAGCGTATCATCTTAAAAAAGAAATGGAAAAATTATTTGTAACGGGTGAAAAAAGACAATGGGATAACGTACATTGAAAAGGAAATCCATGATCTATTTACTAGCTTTTTTATAAATATTGACTTACTGTTCCATTCCATTCTCCGAACATGTCTTGAGAAATTCACTCCTGAGCAGAGGAAAATAGTGAGTGATAGCTTGTGATAATTCTTGAATGGTGATACTATTAGAAAATTTTAAAAAGATAAAGCACATGGTCCCAATGGAGTTACTGCGATGCATTACAAGTGCTTAGAGGAAGAATTAATGTTAGCACTTCAACAAGTAATGAATGAAATCAAAGAAGAGAGACTATTCCCATCAACATGGCAGGAAGCTCATATAACACTGATACATAAAGACGGTAATGCTTCCATGTTAGCATATTCTTATCAACTTATTTCATTATTAAATGTGAACTACAAACTTTTTACTTCAATAATGGTGGAAAGATTATGAAAATGTATAGAAAAACAGATTCATACAAATCAGACTGGATTTGTCCCAAAAAGATATATGAAAGATAATATATGTTTTGTGATTGATGCAATTGCATGGGTCAAGAAAAAGAAGAAGAAAGCTACATGTATTTTTTTTAGATGTGGAGAAAGCTTTTGATAACATGTTTTGGCCTTTTTTTAAAGAAAACTCTTCAATATCTAGACTGTCACTCAAGCTTTCAGAATTGAATTCAAGCAATTTATACTAAACAACATACTAAGATTTTAATTACCAGTGTATTAACTGATAGTTTTCAAATGGAGATAGGAACACACCAGGGATGTCCTTAATTGCCTCCTTTATTTAGTCTTGTATTGGAAATTTTAGCCATAAAAAAGAAAAGAAAGAAAAGACAAGACCCTAAAATTAAAGGCTTTAAAAGTTGGAGACAAATACAAAATGAAATATTATGCTGATGACATAGTTTTGACAATTCTAAATCAATATTAGTCTATATAGTATATAATAGATTTGAAAAATGAAAAATGGTCTCTATTCAGGCTATAAGATCAATAAGAAAAAAACAAAAAGTATATTAAAATTTGCAACAAAGCAGGAAGAGGAAAGTATAAGAAAGATTTCAGGATGTGAAATAACCTCAAACCCAGTTAAATACTTAGGGATAATTGTCACAGGATATAATGGCACAGTATTTCAGGATAATTATCAGAACATGTGAATGAAGAACCAAAAATATTTACAAAATAAGCTGGCAGAATAGGCAGTGATGGTAAAATTAACTAATTATGTAAATGGAAGACTGGTTGAAGAATTTAATGACAAATGGAAATTCTATTATACCCAGCATGATCAGTAGGATGTAAAAGGGAGTTCTTTAAAAAGTAGTTGAGGACTTAAGCGATTGGAATATTATTTGTTGCTGTACAGAACAGTAACTTTTTTCCCCTGAACTCCTATAGAGTGCTGAATGACAGGATAGATAAATGTGTTGTTTTGAATGTACTGGCTGCATTTGTTTAAAATCCCTTGGCAATTTTATTCCATTTTCTATATAGTTTTCTTATTTCTGTATTCTGTTTATGTTAAGAAAATTAATTTAAAAAAGAATATTCATTTTTCAACTGTCAAGTGCTGCTGGCTAGATAGAACAGAATGCATTGGAAGAAATCTGGTAGCCTATGAATCAGGAATGGTCTTAATTCCCGCTAGATAATGTATGAAATGGTCCTTACTACTTCTTAAGATTGACTTGGCCAAGAATAAAAGTGAATTGGCTTGGAAGCTGAGGTGGTTGCTTCTTTCTCTCTCTCTCTCACTCTGCAACCCTTCCCCCTCCCCCCCATTTTCACTCATCAACTTTTATATTACATGATAAAGGCTATTTTTACAAAAGATATTCAGTAATGGGAGTTTCTTCCAACAGGATTAACCGTTGGTGTCCGAGAAGAACTCAAACACTATTATCCAGAAAGTTATTTGCAGGTGGACTCAACCAACTTAGTTTTGCTGTGCACAAGACTTCTGTAAGAAAGCCCATGTACTTCCAGACCTGGTACTTGGCCCAAGCACTGTGTGGAGGATCACCTTAGCACTTCACCCAGGGTACAAATGACATCAACTGGGTGTGGTGGTCTTTGCTCTTGGTCTTGGATGATAGGCAAGGGTTAATAAAAGGGCCCAGGAGATATTCCTGGCACTAGGAGTGAGGGAGTGATTTATGCTTCAGAGCTTATAAGAGATGAGTTCCTGCCAAGGACATCTAGGCTAGTGTTATTGCCCAGATCTCCAAAGATGTAAACTGCTGGCAGCTGGAGGCCCAGGAGGGGCAATGATCTCCTTGGATTGGCTGCCAGGCATTATCCTGTTGCTGGCTGTGGAGGCTAAAGCTCTGAACCTCTGAGGACTCCTTTGGCTTCCTCCTAAATCCAGTATCATTGAAGGTGATCATCCTTCAAGTCCATCACTTTGAGACCAGACGCTTAGGTAATGTTAGAAGAGGGCTAGTCTTTCTTGTTTTACTAAGGTGGTACAATAAGGAGTCCATCTTCCTGAAGACCAGGGATGTTAGATTGTCTTGGCACTTTTTGCTTCTATCTCTTTTCCCTTACTTCTAGATCCCTCACCCTTCCCTCTTTTTCAATAAACTTTTTTTTTTTTACTTCAGTTTGATGTTCAGGTGAGTTGTGGCGCTAAATCTGGTGTCTCATCTGTGGGTTCAGGAATTGGGCAGAATTTAGCCCAAGAAAAAAAGGCTGAAGAAGACCTCCTCTTGTCTTCCTTTACATAGGCAAAGCCACCTAATATCATGCAGCCTTCAGAGAGTTGGTAGAATGTCAATCTGATCCCACCTTTTGGTTCTGATTCCTTTCTCTATGCATTATTTTTTTCTAAATCTTAATATTTTTGTTTTTCAGAATGATTCATTAGTGTCTTCAGGTAGTGAAAGCTCAAAAGAAGACTGGCTCATAAAAGTCTGCTGTCCAGGTGCACGGCATCGATATTGTAGACATGGCCAAACAAAAAAGGTAAATGTTACAGTAAACATACTAAAATATATCTAACCTTGAAAAGAGGAAAAGAATATGTATGAATGCTCTGTGACAACTCAAGTAAAGGGTTCTACTTAATTTCTCAAATTGTTTCTTTTTTCTTTTTTAATTTTGCTGAAGAAAATCAGCTAAATCCATGCACCAGGTATAGTCTACATACAGTGGAGATGCAGGTTTTGCTTTGGTTTTCTTCAGTTTTGTATGTATCTCAGACCCAGTTAAATTGAAGCTTTGAGAAGCAAACTCAAGTACACTGGGGCCTAGATAGTTTTTATTTATTTATTTTTCAATTTATGTCCTGCCTTTTTCCTACAAAGGGCTCAAGGCAGCTTACATCTCCTCCTCTATCTTATCTCCACAACAACAACCCTGTGAGGTAGGTTGGGCTGAGAGTCTGTGACTGGCCCAAAGTCACCCAGTTGGCTCCATGGCTGAGCAGGGACTAGAACCCAGATCATCTGAGTCCCAGTCCCATGCTCTTAACCACTGCACCACACTGGCTCTCTAGTTTTCTCATCCATCCGTCTATTACTTAGAAAAGGAATAAAAAGGAAAAGGAAAAATATCGAATATGAATGCCTAAGGTGGTGCCACTGTGAGAAATTTGGATTCTGGGAGCACAAGCTATATTTCTGAAAAGAAGGACTGCTGGCAAGGGATGGGTTGGACCTTTCAAGGATTGTGAAGGATGCGTTTGTCCACAGCATAAGTAAATCCATCAGGAGGGCTTTAAATTGAATCCTTCTGGGAGAGAGAAGTAAACTTGAGGGAAACAATTGACAAAGGTTTATGCACCACAATGGCAATGATATTACAAATTTGTGGGAAGAATGTTAGACTTTAACAGATGTGGTCTTTAATGTCTATGTATGCCTAGAGTGTGGAAAACAAACAGTAGAAACTTGAACTCTTAATACATCAGAGCTAATATGACCGGATAACTGTAACTAAAACTTAGTGGGTTGACTCCTGTGACTGGAATTCAGCAAATGAAGGATATAACTTGTTCAAGAAGAACAGAAGGAATGAAAAGGGAGACAGAGTTGTGCTACACATTAAGGACACCTCTCCGTGGGAATACAGAAGGGGTCAACTGAATATACCCATCAAGATCATCTGGATTAATATAAATAGAGGAAAGAATAAAAAGGAACATAGTGGTTGGAGTCTACCACCCAGTCAAGGAGGAGATGTTGAAACTTTGGAAAAGCAAATTGCCAATGTTTCAAGGAAGCACAATGTAGTAGTAATAGGAGACTTAATTTTTTCCTGATACCTGTTCAGAGACAAATTCTGCCAAACATGGCTCCTCCAGGAAATCCCTGACTCATGTTGCTGATAACCTCTTCCCACAGAAAGCAGTGGAAAGAACTGGAGATTGACTTGATTCTAACCAACAGGGATTGCCTAGTGGACAAAGTGGCAGTTAGAGAAACTCTGAGGGAAGTGACCTCGACACACTTTAATTCTTGATTCTAACGGATGCAAAAGCCAAGTGTTGTCAAACAAATACTGTGAATTGTAGGAATGCCAATTTTAATGTTCAGGCCAATGATAAGTAAGGTTCTCTGGCAAGTGATTAAGGAGTCGCAGATGGGTGGGATGTTTTTGGGTGGTAATGTGGCAGATTACAGGCAATTCCAACAGAAAAAAGGCAGAACATGACTGAAGATGCCAGTACAATTTCACAAAAAGGTTAGAGATGCTGAACACAAAAAAGACAGATATAGGATATGGTAGGAAAGTCAGGCTACATGGGAAAGGGAGAGACAAGTAACATGGAATTACAGTGAAGGCTAAAATTGAGTATGAGCAGTGGTTACCTAAAGGTGCTCAGAAGCAACAGAAACTCTTCTTCATACATAAAAACAGGAAAGAAATTCAACTACTCAAGGAGGATGGCAAAATGAAAGATGAGAAAGAAGAGATAGAAGTGCTCAATTCCTACTTTGGTTTCTACTTTCTTCTCCCAGAAATGACCACCCTGGCAAAGGGAAAGTACAAGCTGAAGGGACAGGATTGAAACCTGAGACTAATAGGTGAATAGCCAGGGAGCACCTAATTATTTGACCAAGTTCACATCTCTGAGGCCCAATAAACTGCATCCTAGAGTAATAAAGGAGCTGGCAGAAGAACTCTCAGAACCTCTATTATTTTTGAGCAGTCATGGAGGAAAGGGGAAGTGCCAGATGACTGGAGGAGGGCTAATGTCATTCCTATTTTATAAATGGGGAAGGGGAGGAAGAACCTGGGAATTGCAGGTCAGTCAGTCTGACATCACACCCTGGGAAAATCTGGCACAGATTAATCTGACTTTGTTTTTGGATTGGGTAACCTCCCTAGTGGCCTGCAAGGAATGCTGTGCACATGGCATATCTTGACTTCAGCAAAGCTTTTGACAAAGTGTCCCATGATACCCTGATTAGCAACCCAGCAGATGGAGATGGAAGGGGCTAATAAGACGATCATGTCCAACCTCCTGCTCAGCTCGTACCTTGGCTAAAATTCACTAAGGTGATTCCATCTTGTAACTACGTTTGGCATCTTTTCCTAGGTACAGAGCTTGAGATCTATCCCCATTACATTTCATTCTATTGTTTTTAACTCAGTGTTTCAGCCTATCAAACTCGTTTTGAATTTTTTGTCTTCCAGGAGTTTAGTTATCCTGCCAATTAATTTGTTTGCAAATCTGATAAGCATTCCCTGATAAGCATTAATAAAAATGTTGAAGGGCACTAGACCCAGGAGGAACCTGCGGTACCCCACTTGTTATATCTCCCCAGTTTGAGAAGGTGCCATGGTTTCTTTTGCGTCCTGCATTGAACAGGATTTTGGACCTCATGGCTTAGCTGGCCCTTTCCAGCCCTATAATTCTCCGATTCTGATAATTGTACCCATAATAAATTGGATATGATATACAAAATGGCAGGGGCAGGTTTCCATGCAATTGTGAAGTAGCAGAGGTCATGCAAGGTCAGATAAACATAAGCAGGTCCCTAAGTGTTAGGCTACTAATGTTTTAAGTTCTGATTCTTCCTGTTTCTTCAGAAAAAGTGCTTTTAAATGTAAAAGTATAACCATATTTAGATCATCTACCCTCAGTGCTGCAGCTGATATTTTAGGGACACCATGCCAGAGTACTGAGAGGAGTTAAAGTGCTAATTTTCAGCACCTGTCACCTGCTGTTATGCCTGGCCCCCCTTTCAGTGCTGACAGAATGGATTTGCTCATGATCAGTCCTGCTTTCCTGGCATCAGCAGGAGTGTGGGCAGGGCATCTGGAATGGGGGATGAGCAGCCTAACATTAGGCTTGAAAGCCCAGTGTGAGGCATATCCCCTCCCAGTCACTCAGGTGTAACACAGATAAGCTGAGCTGCACCACTGCTGAATGGCAGAAAGGGAAGGATCCCTTAGTACTTCTGACACACACAATGGGAAGGGGGGGGGGGGTCATTCAACATGCTGGTGGTTTAACATGTTGTATAAGCCTAGTCAATCTGTCAACGAAAATAGCATTGGAACATGATGTTCTCATCTTGTACTTAGTCATTGTTCTTGAACATTGCTGCTTTTATCACATGCAATTATCTGTAATAAGTGTTGAACCAATATTTCATGATGTTGGAACTTTCTTCACTTTTAATCTGAGCTTGTATCTACCAGTGAAACCTCATCTTTTGTCAAAACTTCCCCCCACTTTTTGGAATAATATTGAATTTACTCATCCACCCAATTGCTTTGGCTCCATTCCCCTTGATTGCTTGGATAAATTACAGCTGTTTGTGTGTGTGTGTTCAGGAGGAATCAATCTGATGACTGCATTGTCACTGAGATTGTTAGATTTTTAAGGTCCTTTTTCTACATCAATTTCTACATAAATTCATGACCTAATTTTTTTTTATAGAATTTGTACTTTTTCTAAGCATACTTTAATACATGTTGAGTTTATTTTTTAATGAATGCTTTTTGGAATTACCTTCCATTGCAAAATTTTTGTGCTCATATTTTGTGCACGTATTTCTCAAATATACGCATTTTGCGCACACATTTCCCTTTGTATATATTTTTCTTAAGAAAGGCTGCATCACAAAGTTCATAAAATGCAGATTTTGGTACACAGTTGAGAATTGCATAGTTGTGTTTTGATGAAAAAACTTGGATTAAATTTCTTACTCCGTGTCTGCACACGTGCTTTCCTGTGTACTATCAGTCAGACATGAGTTCTAGTGAGACATACTCACAAGTATGTGTTAAACTGAAGTGTTTTCTTGGATGTTTTTCTTATCCCCAATCTTTGCAGCGAATATCGTCATGTAAAAAGACTAGATTCTCACGGAGCTTAGACAAAGATGATTTCACAGAGTCTGCACAATGGATGCCCTTTACATCTTACCAGGTATGCATGTCAGATGTTTTATTGAAGAAATGTAATAAAGATTATGCATGTGTAATATGCATATATCATGAATGTTACAGTAATTATAACATTGTAACATGCATGCTGATTAACAAGTTATTAGTTACTCCAGTCACACATTATTTTAAAGATATATATTATATATATATTTCTTCAGTACTACATGTGATTTTAAAATACTGCCTCCCTTGCAAAGATATGTTGAATTAGAGGGCTTTTGTTGGAGGGACTGCATCAGATGTAGGAGGAAAATACTGGACTAAATTTCCTTAGGGAAAGCACTGCTATGTAACTCTTAGTCTTCTTACTTAGTATACTAGTCCATGAAGTGGTGTCTGTATCTTCATTGGACAGGCAAAAGGGGTAGAACAGAAATACATCTGATCTGGAAGTAGCTTAAAGTATTTTCTTTTAGCACTTCTTGGTGGGAATTCATTTTATAAATAATGAAATAAATAAAACTGTTAATAGTAAAGCAAAAATATTAACTATTAACTTTATTTCTGGGTAGTTCACAGAAGTTTATCAAAGCACAATAATAAAAGCGGATACAATAAAGTATAAAATTACACAATATTTTATAAAACAGCTTAAACATTAATAAAATTTCAGTAGAACTAGACCTAACTGAAACAGCAGACATAGCTCATCATATGCCACTAAATGCCTGAGAATAGAAGACTTTCTAAAAACTTGACACTGAAAAAATGATAATCTTGGTGACCGGTGGGCCTCAGCAGGGAGTTCATTCAACAAATGAAGAAAATGTCTTGGATGTTATCACAAAACGTCTACCATTGGCAGTGTGGCTGGTCACAAAGAACAAATAATCTTCCTGAAAGACTGACTGCAAACTGAGGTGGAGTCCAAACCCCAGCACATTAAATTCCTTTGAACCCATACCTAGCAAGAATTTTTTTCTTCAAGCGGGAAGGCTGGGGTACCTTGGGGCTTGTCAGGAAAGGCCCACGAGGTGTGCTGGTGGCTCTGGGCACCATGTTGCCTGCCCATTGGTATATTTGATTTCTAAAGATGCAAAGCTTCATATTTCCAAAGCAGCATGTGCTGCAAATTCTGTCTAGTTACTTGTTTCTAATTAGCTTGGTTCTGCTGGCTATTAATTTTCTACCTGCCCGTTGGTACGACACCATATTCTCTATGGTAGAGCACCTAATTAGTTTATAGTATTTTAGGGAATAAAGAGAAGCAAAACAAGTCAAAAGAACTATGGTGGAACTGAGAAATGATATCACCATTCTTGTTATGACATAACACTGGAACAGTTCTGTTCTCATTCTGTTCAGTAGCTTTATAGCCAGACACATTTACAGTGAGTTACTATAAAGCTGACACTTGGATTAGCAAACTAATCTGAAAGTGCTGTGAGCCAGTATATTTCTCAAGTCCTCTGAAGTTTTTATTTATTTTATTTCTCAATACTAGCAACTGCCTTTGTGACCAATTCTAGTTCATCTGTTTTTTGCCCTCTTAAATGTTTTAACACATTCATCCTAGACCTATACAGGAGTGCCAAGGCAGGAGAGCTCAGACTTGAAGTGGCTCATAAGACTTCGCTGTCCAAGGGCTCAGATGGAGCTGATGTTGCCAGATGCAAAGCAAGTAAGTGACTGTGTATATCAGCTGCTTTGCCAGTATAACATCACAAAAATATTAATGTTAGCATTGCAAGATGGTTAGAGTTTCATCTTAAGTAAATATTAAATCTAAAACTGCTGAGTGCAGTTTCATATGGTAAAGTTCCTTAGAGATACTGTGATGTCAAAAACTGTACAAATTTTCCTTCTTAACCTTACCTGGAGTTTAGCTTTTACAGAGTTTGATCATCATATTCACAGTCAGGTGAAGTATGATAAGTTAGGCTGCAGTCCTATTTTCGCTTACCTGGAAGCATGGGCATTGGTAAGGCACACCTGGCATGTACCTCAGATCTTCTGAGTGTTGGCCCTGGATGTTTAGGGCTGCCCCAGGGCCATTTTATGTCTTACTACAAGCTTGCTTCTTTCCCCTCAGCTCAGTAGCTTTTAGTTACTAGGAAACGTCAAAATACACTTCCTTAGTAGATCAAGGTGTGCAGCATGAAGGCAGCCACTTTTTAAACTAAGGGGAGACTGCCACTTTCCATGGTCTGTTATTTCTCTCTGCTTTTCTACTTGTACATGCCTACAGCCAGGAGTGTGCTTGCAATGACATTTTGCAGCGGGAGGGAAAAGGCAGGAAGATCTCTCTATGAAATATTGGTATTTCAGGCAGCACCTGATTTTGCTGCCCCCAAACTGGCAACAAACCTTGGACTTTCAATAAAGTTCAGTAGCTTCAGCTCAGCAATGGATTTAATCAGTCATCATATGCTTCTTTCTCACCCTCCATTTTACTTTCTCTTACATAGCTGCAGGCAGCAGATTATACCAAAAGGATAGTTATGACTACCTTGCAATGCCACCACATTTGACTCTGAAAAAAACCTTTAAACTGGATATCAAGTGTCCTAATTCCCTCACTCTAACAATTCTTCTGAAATTTTTAATTTGAATTTTGGGATGCCTCTTGACCTTTGTTGTTGTCATACAGACTTATCCAAAACTGATGAGTGGAGGTGAGGGAAAGTGCAGGCAAATCACTACTTACCCCCAAACTTGATAACTCCTCTTCCATGTGAAGCATATCTCCTATCCTGAAACTTACTGGTTTCTTACTTAGGAATACCTCTAGGCTCCTCTTTTGGAGACCCTGAAGATGTCTAGCCTGCAGCGCCCCCTCCCCCCTGCAAGTATCATTCTGCAGAGACATGATCCTCGTATATGAGGCAACTAATCCGGCATTTTTGTAAATTATAAGAAATAAAATTAGCATTTCCCTTTAAAAGAAAATCAAATTATGAGAGAGAGAGAGTGTGTGTGTGTATGTATGGAGAGAGAGCACAAAACCGCCCTCTGCAACATTTTAAAAATTCTTGTTAGGTAAAGTTCCTTTTTAGGTGGCAGCTCTGCTTGCAACTATCATCCAGTTCTGACCAAAAGAGATATTTTTACAGATATTTTTATTTCCTGCGGTAGTCAACAGGAAGCACAATGCCTTGGTTTCTGAACCTAAACTTGGGTTCAGTACTGGTGGAAGTGGACTGACTCTAAACTGGTTTCTGCAGAAGTAGGTTGTTTTCCAAAACACCAGAGAGACATCTGAATTGGGGGACCTCTTACTCACTCTCATATAAATTTGTGCTATGGTCTGGTTTAAAGAACCTAGCAACACCCTTGCCTGCATGTAAGTTCCAGGAGGATTCAGTGGAACTTACTTCTGAGTTAAGCATGTACAGGATTGAGCTGTAAGTGATCAAGCAATACACTGGGGCTTCTGTCAAGATTAGGATTAAAACAAGATAATGTAAAGCACTTTTAATACTCAGAACCACTACACATATATGATATTAGAGACGTATGCTTATCTTGTTAATGGTCAGTTCCATCCATACCCAAGCATTCTGCAGTGAAGACAATTCCTTATCAATTCCTTATCATACTTCCAAAGAGTATGAAGCAGTTTCCAAATATTCATAAAGGTATACCTAGCATTTTCTTTATTTGCAACACTTTGCATGGTTACCTTGAATGTTCAACAGTGCAGTAATGTCATCTTGCTTGGTCTTAGCTCATGTGGGTGACTTTAAGAAAAATAAGTCCATTAATTCAGTACACACTTGACTCAATGCTGGAAGTATATGATTTAGGGGCTAGCTGTTAAACTATTAGGGAACAGGTGTAAATCATGTTTTCTATGTGTATGCTCTATATGCAGATCATCCTAAATTCAGTCCCTTCAGGGAAAGCTGGGAAAGACTCTTGCCTGAAACTTTGGAGAGCCACTGCCGGGCAGTGTCATCAATACCAGTCAATTGTATTGATGGGCTGAGTCAGTATATAGCTACTTCCTCTGTGAATGATATTTGTCACTACATGGTACTTACCATCTGGAGCAAGGTTTTCAGTTTTCTGGAGGACAGTGAAAGGAACTATATTTCACTCAATTACTATCTACATGGTGCTGAAAACAAAAGAGATTTCAGAACATAGTGTTCTAGAGTTTGCAATATTTTGGAGGATGAATGGGGAAGCATAATACTGTGCTCCTTGTTTAGAGAAATTTAAGTGTTGGGTGGCTGGAACATTCACTGTGTTTTTCCTATCCCTTTTTATAAGTCTCTTCCAGCAGTATCCTTGAGTAGATCACCAAGCAAGATTTGCAGAGATAGCCAGACTGAAAATGCAAAAAATCCAGAGAGATGGCCAGCAAAGAAGCATCATTCCATTACACAGGTACAGCTGATTTTGGGAGCTGGGGAGAAATCATTGCTGACAGTACTCTAACACTTTGTCAGCTTTGGGAAAAGAAAGCAAGGTAGCTAATGTTCCTATTTAAACATGCGATTAGAAAATGCATGCACATTTCAAAGAAGCTGTCAGACACTTTCCTTTTTGAAGTAATGCATTCTTTGAATTACATAAAGTTTATTGAGTATGTTTTTTGGTGTTAGAAGAAACTTAATTTCCATCTTCTCTGCAAGGGAATTAAATTGTCATTGCTTTTTCATTATTTCATATCTTTAAAATAATTTTTAAAATGTTGCCATTGATTTGGGTTTGGATTTGGATATGTATGCAGTTGCCAATAGATTCCTACACCCTGCTGGGTTTCTTCTAGCAAGAAGCATGGAGTAACAGAGGCAGTGTTTATCTTTCTATCCTACTTTTATTTTTTCCCCTATTAGAAGTTGTGGAGTTATGTTGGTGGAAGCAGGTCAGGGTTTAGAGAGGCTGCAGGATACAACATAGCCTGGCTTTTCCTTCCCCATTCCCTCCCTGCTGGCATGCCTGTTTTTGCCATTCCCTCTCCTTGTTTGAGGTCATAACACTGACTTTAGAAGTAAAGCTGTTATGGGGCTCTGTAGCAGCTACAGGTAGGGTATGGATGCCGATCTGAGGATTTTTGTCTCCAGAGACAAAGTCCACCTCCGATTATGAATGACCTCAGAGGTGAAAACCCCCATTTGTTTGTGCCCTTTATGGCTAAGAGAACAATCCTTATCCCCAGTCCTGTTGGTTAATGGGCCAGAGTACAGAGAAGTTTGGAATATGCATGATACATTAACCTGTGATATTAAAATGAAAAAGGCTAAATAAGAATAATTTTGATGCTGTTTGGGGACCATTTATTGATCATGTACTAATAAAAGGGAAAGAATTTGAACCTCCAAGTTTCATCGCAGTTTTGGAAGGATGATAGAACTTCTGGAAAGGGTAAATAATTTAGCATGTATCTAATTGTCCTGGTGGTGGGATGCACAGTTCCTTTCTTTTTTTTCCACAGTGTGCAATTTAAATATATTTAAAATACAGATAAAAATAACAGTAAGAAACAGAACCATAAAACATAGTAAAATTAAAATATATTATAAAAACAACCATATAAATAGGAAACAGGAGAAAAATAAACACAATATGACCAATTGTGACTGCATCAGGAGGGGGCTGCAAGCCAAAGACCCCCTTTCCTGGCTTCTCCATGAAGAGCAACACAAGAAAGATGGTGCACTCACCGGGCCTTTATTCTTCTGTTACACTTCCACCGCTCGCTTCCCGCAGTGCCTTGGCCCTAGCCTGCTCCGGTTCCCTTCCCTTCTGTCGCTATGGCAATGAACTGCACCGTCCCTATGCTTGCTGTTTGCCTCGGCCTGCCCGCCGCCTCGGCCGCTCTCCCTCAAACGCACGTGCATCTCCGCACTCTTTCCTCTCTCCTCTTTCCCCCCCCCCCCCCGCCTCTTTATATTCCCTCCTCGTGCAGCACTCCACCCAACCCAGCTGTTTCTGCCTCGGTCCGCAATCCCGTACAGCTGCGCGCTTGCCCGCATTCCCTGGCCGCTGCCTTCTTGTGTGTTGCTCTCCCCACATGGATTCCCAGCCTTGCCCTGTTGTCTTTCCCCGTGCTCTGTGGAAGGCCCCAGGAAAAGGGCTGAGCCCCTCTGCCTCCTCACACCAATAACAATAGGTTATCTTTCAGGTTCTCATTTTTCCTGTTTTGAATCTGTCTATTCTAAACTTGGAGAATTTTTCCAAGCTTAAGTTTGCTCCAAATGCAGAGATTTCTCTCTTTTTTTTTTAAATAAATTTTACTATTTTTTTTAGAAACTAACATTAGAAACATCAATCATTTAAGACATCGGACATACTGGGTCAGCATCTTACTCTTTTTAACAGTCCATAACCATATTCAGATCTATGCATAGTCCCGTTTCTCTAGCCAATAGTAAAAAGAGTTCCAAGTTTGATAGAAATATGTATCCTCCTTCTCCTTCAGAGACAAGGTCAATCTGTCCATTTCTGCGCAGTCCAAAATCTTTTTTAAGATCAGTTCTTCAATAGGTGGCTCTTCACTCCTCCAGTGTTGGGCAAATACAATCCTCGCCACAGTAATTATGTCAGGTATATAGCTTGTTTATCAAAGTCATCAGAGATAATGCCTAATAGAAAAAGTTCAGGTTTAAATGTTAAAGGTTTTTGTAACATTTCCTCAAGCCATTTATGTATTTTAACCCAGTATTTTTTTGCCTTATCACAAGTACACCACATAAGATAAAAAGTACCAGATTTATGTTTATATTTCCAACATCTATTTGACATACTTGGGAACATTTTTGCTAGTCTATTTGGCGATAGGTACCATCTATAAAACATTTTATAAAGGTTTTCTTTATATGAAGTTGCTAAGGTTACCTTAATATTTCTTTCCCACAGGTTTTGCCATTTCTGTAACTCAATAATATATCCAAAATTTTGTGCCCATGTTATCATAGTTTGCTTAACTTGTTTGTCTTCCATTCTCATGTCCAAAAGAAAGTTATACAATCTTTTAATCATTTTTATCTGATTTTAAAATTATTTGATCAGATGTTAATTCCTTATAAAAACCATAAAAATGTTTAACATATCTCGATTGTATTTGAACCTTATGCCGCCAAGAAATATCAATATCCTGCTCCTGTAGTTCTTGATTCGGTTTCAATTTTCCATCATTTTCCAAAATATCATGATATCTCACAATCATATTAATATGCATTTGGATATGTAAGAGCTTCCATAGGAGAAAGCCATCTTGGCAACGTAATATGCAGCTTTGTTTTTAGTTTTTCCCAAACTGACATTAATGACTTTCTGATATAATGATTTAAGAAACAACCATGTGTCTTGCACTTCTCATACCACATATAAGCATGCCATCCCATTTGTAAGATTCTCTTATTTCTTAAGGATATCCATTCTTTTAACCACATTAAGACACAAACTTGATAATACAGCATCCAATCAGGAAGGCCAAAATCCCCTTTCCCTTTGGCCTTCTGGAGCATTTTTAATTTAATCCTTTGTTTCTTCTTTTGCCATATAAATCTCAAAATTTGGGTGTTTAAATCTTCAAAAAAAATTATCATTTTTTATGGGAATTGTTTGGAATAAAAACAAGAGTTTTGGTAATATATTCATTTTAACTATTGCTATTCTTCCCAACAGTGATAATTGCAAGTTCGCCCATTTTTCCAGATCAATCTTAATTTCCTTACATAGTTTTACATAGTTATCTTCTTTCAATGTAGCACATTTAGCTGTAAGAAAAACTCCCAAATATTTAACCTTTTTAACAATTTGGAGGTCTACTTATTCCGTCAAAGTCATTTTCTACTCCAATGTGAGATTTTTTACTAACAATTTTGTCTTTTCTCTATTTATTTTTATCCTGATAACTTCACCATAGTCTTCTATCTTTTTTAAAAGTTTAGACATTGTTACCAAGGGATCCTCTAAGATAAAAACTAGGTTGTCCATGAATGCTTGTAATTTATTAATTTCATTTCTAATTCTGGCACCTTTAATATCCACATCTTCTTAACATTTCTATTTAAAACTTCTAAGATCAATATAAATAACAATGGTGAGGGCTGTAGTTTGAGGAGCCATGATCTGGCTGGTAAAGTATTTTTGCTTCCATTAGAACCCATATGAGGGGATATATATTATATATTTATTTTAGAAAATAATCTTCAGGAGGCAGAAAGCTCCCTGCTCATCCTTCATTGCTTGGCCTGTTCAATGCATACTGGCAGGGCTTTGGAAAGGTGAAAGAACTGTAATGTTACACCTTCATGGCCCATAGGATTGCTCTATTAATACGATTCAGATATGCATTTTAGTCCCTCGGTGTGGCTAATAGTATTTGCTTATCAGTTAACTCTTAACCACAGTATTCAATATACTTGTGTATCTGACTGTTCAATTATGCAGCTTTTCTGATAGTTTCCCTTTTCATTTTTAAATGCTGAAAGCTTGATCAAATATTTACATAAAATTATACTGAATTGTGCAACATTGTATGATATTGGAACTGGCATTTGTTAGCTCTTTTATTGTACAGTTTAGTAATATTCTACATACTCTGAACCAATTTAATACATCATAAAGCATATTGGATTTACAGCCCTGATGTTCAAAATCAGCCATTCTTTCAAACTTCTTGGCAGTGCAGGTAGAGACTATTACAACTTTTCTCATAACTTTTGGTGCCTAGCAATTTTTCCCCACTCTCAGATAGTCACTGGCTTAATGCAGCTTCAAAGAAGCACCAGCACCATTAATTCCAAAGAAGGCTTTTCAAGTAACTTTTATTTTCAGCTTCTTCTTGTTGGTTATGAGGCTTACTATACCTGCAGTACTGATGGATTCATAATACTAATTTGATTTACTACTCTTGATTTAGCAGTTCTACTTTACAGATTTTGCTGGTATTTTATTAGGCCGTAGTTAATGAAACCCAGGATGCTGTTGGTTCCACTCAATCCCTGTTGGAAAGAGAAAATCACTTTGTAAGGGTAAGAAACATACTTTTTACAGCATGTCGTTCTGATTGAGAAAGATAAACAGATTTGAAAATCTCTAGGCATCAGATCATTTTTATCTAACATGTTTTCATACATACCTTTGACGAGAAATTGTATTTTTCTAGGGGCATTATGAAAGTGGTATACATTCAGCAGCAACTGAACCTACTGTGAGACAGATTAGGTGTGATGTTAAATGCATGTAAACATTTAGAATGACTGATTTTTGTTACATATATAGCAGCCATGGAAGAGGGGGAGCTTTCAGTCTCTCCCTTACAGCTAATAGCAGGTGGAACAGCATGGAGGAGAAAGGGGTAAAGACTGCACCATTTTCATGTATTGCTATCCTGACACACACCCCTACTCTGCCAATGCAGAGCAAAAATAAGGCATATTAAATGCTTACATCTTGTTACATCTGTGTTGATTTACCCTTGGATATATTTGATACTTGCATTTCCTTCCCAGCCCCTTCATTATTTTGCTCTGCCATGCTGTACATTAGACTCCTTTCAGAAATTGTGCAGGGTTGACCTGCACCCCATGCTGTGCTACACCCTTGAACATTAAGCTTCTTCCTACATTCTGGGATCCTGTGCGTTAGCCAGCTTGTTGCAGGTACTGCAAGTCTGAATTCAGTAATGGGAAGAATGTGGTCTTGTAGGTGTACAGGTCCTAGATGTGAGTTATTCCATACAAATAAGTCCCAGTAGCTCCTGGAGTGGTTGGACAGCTGTAGGTCTGTGCCTATCTTAGATATATTTATTTATTACTTTTAAAAGCCATCCAATTATCTCTCTGTTTAGTGGACAGTGACAAAGTAAGAAAGCATTAGGGTATCAAGGTAAATGGGCTGGTTTGCTTTGGCTTGTCTGCATGTGCTGGTAGTGGTCCTATAAGAATAGCAAAGATGCGGGTCACACCTTATGTCTGTAGTTCAGTATGCTGCTCAAGGAAAAAGAAAATGTTTTGTGATGCACACCTCTGTCATTCATCAACTTCTAGGAGATTCTTGTTCAGGCAGTGTACAGGGTATATTAGTGTTATTGTAGTATGTTTTATCAAATAACATGTAGCTCCTATTCAGTTTCTTCTTCTGCTACATGGTATAGAGTGAAGTGGGTATGGCTGTAGGGTTCTAGCTAATCAATGTGAAAATTCCCCCCAGTTACCATCACATTCCAGAATTTCAAGTATAGCCTGTCTTCTAAAACTATTCTCACCCTTGTTTGACCATTTGTGGGATTTCATGTAACTCATGCTGTCAAGATTTTCTGCATATCTGTGATAACAAGAAACCTTAACTTTCAAAAGTACATGCGGGTTCCTCACAAATTTATCATGAGGCTGTAATGAAATAGAATTGTGACATATGAGCTTTATATTTTGCGTCTCATGATTAATTTAAAGTTTTAGCAGGTGGAATGTTAAGTTAGGGAGCAATCCTGTGGCTCCTAGACAGTGTTTGATAGACCATAGGTTATTTCAGATTCCCAGACCCTCACTTCCACTCACAGTTAGCATGCAAAGAATTGCACTGGCTGCTATCCAAGGGAAATGTGCCTTAAGTATGTGTAGCATAAAGATGTGTCTTGAGTATAGGTGCAACAAATTCCCTAAGAATGCTGTTTCCCTCTTGCAGCTGGCATGGAAGGAACCATGCCAGCTGCTCTCCAGAATGAGGAACTTGGAAACAGGGAGAAGAGGGAGTTTTGTTTGGTGGGGAGCACAGGAGATTGGAAAGGCTATTCAAGGATAGCTGTTCAAAAGCCTATACAAGATATCCAGAGACTCCTTCCCTTCTCCAGTGCCCCAGCTAGGTGGATGATTTTCAGTGTCTTTTGTCTAGGATTGTATGTTACCTACAAGTTTTTGTTTTCCTTTATTTTTAATGGTTCCTGACTGGTTTAAAGTCTTTGATTAGTTTTACTTATTATAAGCTACCTAGCTTTGTTAATAATAGTTTCTCTGTCAATTAGGAAGTAGACAGGTATTTGAAGCACAATGATTTCTTAGCTCTAAGGAGGAAGGAAATGCTGTACAAGAAATGGTTTGAGAGTGTTTCAAGACCTCTACTACAGAAAATTCAGGACAAAGTTGACAACCAGTCAAGTGAAGAAATAGAGGAAAGGAAGCGAAAGCAGTTCTCACTTTATTTGAACTACTGTAATAAGAAGGTATTGGTAATGAAAAGATGCATATTATTGGAAGGTGTGTGTCCAACTGTTAGTGAATTTATTGGATTTGTTGACTTTGATCAAGGTTAGGACTTGTATTAACCCTTTATAGAATTGATAGTTATTTTAATAGCAAAACATTAATAGAAACATGATTAATTAATTAATTTAATTTAATTTTTTTGTATCCTGCCCTTTACAGTGTCTCAGGGCAGCGAGAACATGAATAAATAATTAGGGCCCTATGTATGTTGAGATACAAAATATTGCTTATAACTCCTAAATGAGTTATATCTATTTTTTCTGTCTAATCTTGCATTACAATTGTGCCACTAAGCTGTTTGTTACAAGTTGTTTATAAAGTCGAATATGTACTTTTTTGTGTACATGTATGAGAAAAAATGTTTATTTTGTCAGCAAAGAAGAAAACAATTGAACATTTCATTTGCACTAATGACAAAATATTTTTTATCTCAGTTGGTAGTTTAACAATGAAATTGTCTAAAATAAGGCCTAGGATGCCAAATGAATCAGTGGTGATTGAGGTGTTTTGTTTTCCCTTCCCTCTCAGAACAGCTTGGGAGCAGGATAGGGTACTGTTTAATATTCTCAGAATAAACTTGAGATCTGGTGCCACCATTTATGTATTTCAGCATTATCTGGGTTTGAACAGACAATTTGAGGACTATATTTCACCTTTTTAATAAATTGAGAGCATTTTCCTTCTGTACAGATTGATTTGGTTTGATTTCATTGCAGACAAGAACAAGATATGCTTGCAGGAACGTAATTGTGGAATATGACTGTCAGTCCTTGTCAGCCTGTCTGCTTTACCTTTTCACACTGGCTTTTTCCTGTTGCAGAGGGAAATAGAGGTTCTCACTAGCTGCTGCTTCCTTGCCCATTGCTACAGTCTAAGTAAGAGAGGGGCTCATATGTCATGGTTGCTTTTTCTGTAGATAAGTGTGAGGAGTGGAAAAGCAGATGTAGCTATCTGTCCCTCCTCCATTTGTAACAATTGCTTGTAACCAATTTTGTATCTTTCACCATCTGTTGACTGAATTGCCAAATTTATTACCAGTTCATCAACTTGGATAAATTGATTTGGTTTCTCTGAAGAAATTTATATGTAGAACTGTGGAAATGTAGTCACAGTATAGGGATGAAAGCACCAAGACATCTATGAACAATTGGAGGACAGACTCATGCTTGTAAGATAATTCATGGGAACGTTAATGCATCTGTAGAATAAAAAATTGGGTTAGAATAAAGAATTGGATTGTAAGATGTTATTTGCAGCCCCAGTGAAATACATGGGACTGTATAATTGAAATATGAAAGAAAAAGTCCAGTCATACAACTTTGTATGATTGTTGAACTTGGAATATAGACACTTGAGATCACATTGACCTCATGGGCTCATTGTTTTGAGCATTTTGCTGTTGCATCTCAGATCGCCTTATGTAAAATAGGAATAATAGTAACTTGCCTCATTGTCTTGCTGTAAGAGTGAAAAGAATGCTATACTTGACTAGTGCTAATAGGTAGCTACACAAGTAAAAGAACAGTTTTATGATAATTTGCTTTGAAATGGATCATGAATACATGGGAAAGTGTTTGTTTCAGGAGTGAGGAAAGAATTTGAAGCTTAACTGTGATCCCTGCTTTGTTGAGGGTCTTTTATTGTTGCAAAGCTCACTGTAAAAGCTTAATGGTAACACTCTACAGAAATCAGATAGCTGGTGAGAGTTAACTATAGGCTCCATAAGCAATTCCACAAACTCTAAAGCTAATACCTGTAACCGGATCCAGACAGCTCAGCTTCCCTGTTGTAATTTCTGCAGCTTAGAATAGAGGGTAAGGGCTCGAATGATTCCTAGGTAAGCCTTTACAGGAACCAAAGGCAGGGGTTCTAGAAAAAGACTAGAACCCTAAACACCCCTAACCCTAAACAAATCCACACATGCAGAGATTGAGTCCAACTTTGAAATCCGTGTTGGAATCCAGGCCTATCAAATCCATGAGTTAAAATAGGATCACAAGTAAGTCCTTAGAAAAATTTCTACCAAAGTTTCCACATTGGAATCTCCACAGTAGATTTGTCTAGGTATAGACAAGTTGAAGACTGGATGAACCCAAGCCATCTGACAGCTCTGAGCTATCAACAGTGAAGATCCATAATGCATAGCAAAGAAGAATTCACGTCCCATGAAAAGTATAGTGTTATTTTTCATTACACATTCTTAAAAATGCAAAGTTCAGTAGATAGGAAACAGAGGTTCAGGCAGAGAGGATTTAAGGAACAAAATTTATTCATTTGAAACATGATGCTGGAGGAGATCTTTGTGAATATCCTGGTCCAACAGATTAAATGAACAAGCAGCTCCTGGATAAATCAAGCCAGAACTTTCCCTGGAAGCAAAAGTAACAAAATTAAGCTGTTGTACTTCAGGTGCCATCATGAGTAGGCAAGACTCAGTGGATAAGACCTCTTAGGGAAAGTTGAAGGCAGCAGAAGTGGAAACGAAATGTGAGATGGATCAATTCCATTAAGGAATCCACAGTCTTGAGCTTAGAAGACCTGGGCAGAACTGTGAAGGACAGTGAATGGAAACTACCAAACTCAGAGGCTTATGACAATCCAGTGCAGGGCAGAAGAGGTGGTGGAGCCTCCTGCTCTGAAAATGTTGCTAGATGAGTCTTTTAGCATATCCAGCAACAGCAGTTTAGAAGGGAAATAAGGAGGCTGCAGGCAGCTTGGGATAACGTGCATCCTGGCTTCTTGGTCTCCCCCCCTGTTCTTTCTCCCTCCGATTTCCTGACCTTACAGCTCAGCCATGCTGGCTGAGAGGGGTTGATGGCAGGGAAGTGGATCTCTGACTCCCCTGTAGGATCATTATAGGGTTATAATGCTATATCTGTTTTTTGTTAAAATAAGTGTAATAAAAATTGGAAGTGAGTTTCAGTCAGTTTTCAATTAAAAATAAACAAATGGGATCATAACATTATCCGGTTTAGCTGGGGTTCAGACTGAGTTTTGACACAAAAACAGCTTTGGTTGCCCTGTATGATGTCAGGAGAGAGATGGGAAATATGACATTGTTGATACTCCTGGATCTCTCTCTCAGTGGCTTATGATATTATTGACCATGTTATTCTTCTGGGGTGTCTGTCTGAGCTGGGAATGAGAAATACTGCTTCAGAAGGTGGTGCTTGGTGAATACTACATGACCCATGGATTCCCCTTGTAAGGAATGAAATCCAAGCAATGATGATACAGGAGGCAAAGTACCAAGCAGCAACAGTTTAATACGTTCTGGCCAGACCGGGCACTCAGCCCAAAGGTAGTGCACTGGAGGAGCAGTTTACACAGCCTTTTGTTCCCTACTTCACGCGCAAAGTCCCTGCCTCCTTTCTCCCATTGGCTGGGATGCTGGGAATTCCCATTCTTCCCATCCGCCTTCATCATACTACTCCTTGGTATGTTACCCCCACCTGCTCATACGTCCCATGTTCATGTTAATAACCCTCTGAGTTATAGTAGGAGGCACTATGAATATGCATTAGCTAATTGTGCAGCCGTATTTTGGATTCTAAGTTCAGAAGTTTAATGCCATGTCTACCGATTATTAATATGCATCCTATTAGTTTGTTTTAGTACTAGTTTCATTATTAATCACCAATTGTTCTATAGCCTTAACTGTTCTAGTTCACTAGTTACAATAACTTTATTAATCACTAAGTGATCCATCGCCTAACTGTTGTAGTCTGTTAGTCACAGTAATTTTCTACTTCTCACACCCTGCATTGAGTTCCCAAGGTTTTGTCCTTCATGCTTTTCCACATCAATCGAGTTTGTTGCCATCAGTATGTTAGTGATAGATACCTCTGCATCTCGATTTCATCTTCATCAGGTGTGGCTGTGGGTGTGGGAAACCAGTGCCTCATGGTGACAGGGCAGGATGAGGGCTAACAAACTGAAGACAAGACTGAGATGCTGTTGGTGGATGGTTCTTCTGTCTGGAAGATGGATGTACAGCCTGCTCAGGATGCGGTTGCATGGCCTTCACAGAAGAGGGTTGTAGCTTAAGGATCTTTCTAGAGCCATCTTTATAATTTCATGTTCTTCATCAAGGTTTCAATTATTATTACAATAATTTTGGGAATCTTCTATAGCTGAGGAAATCTGGGCTTGAACCCTCCCCCACCATTTAAGCACACAGGTCCCTAGTAGGTTCCCTCAGTCTCTCTTTATAAATTGTTTTTAAAAAATGTTTTAATAATGATGTTTGAAGAAAAGAAAGAAAAGAGAATAGGAATAAAAGGAAAAAAATATGAAGGAACACCAAGGGATTTTAAATAAATGTTACATAAAATATTTCCCTGTAAGTCAGTGGCTGTTATCCTTTCTACTTCAGTCACGTTTTTTGAAATTCAATTAAAATTCATTAAAAATTTCTTCTAAATTGCAATTCTTTAACTTATTCTGTATTCTTCTTAACTTACTATGACACAATATGAACATTAATCTCTGTCGTATCCTCAGATATTCTATTTCCTTTACATTTTTATTTTTTCTGTTATTTTCCCAGTTAAAAACTATGTTATGTAAACTAGGATTTCCACTTCTCATTAAATTCTATGGCTGTGATCTATTTGCATAATTAGTCTTGCCCTTACATTTACTACATTGCTACATGTCAGATAACTTATTTTTTCCAATCTTCTTTTTCTGACTTTTACTCTAGCCACAATTGTCATGAATTGACTTGAGTTTTCCAAGCTTAAGGATTAAGAATTTCACAGTTATAAAATTAACACCTTCCATTACCAGGTGAACTGTGACACCAGAGCAGTGGTGTGTTTCATCAGTGTGTATGGCTGCAATCAGGACTTTGGCAAGAGGCTCAAGATTCAAGGACCTTTCCTTTGATGAGGAAGGGTTATTTAATTCAGGCATGGATGATGCTATGGAGTTGGTACCAAACATGAAGCTCACA